TCTCGTCGTGGGATCGTCCACTAGGAAATTGTCCCACCTCCAGCACTAATGCAGGACTTCCAGAATTCAAGTTACCATTGATGACGTTGATAGACATGATATAGTGTGGTTTGCTGCAGTTGTTAAAGCGAGCAAATGATATGACTGTACCATATCGTTCGTAGTTCTCGTTTTCTACCACCCTTTGTCGCATGCGCGCTTCAAAAAGAAGGGCACATTCAAACTGCCTGACACGCGCAACCGTCCGCAGCGAACTAGAGTATGAACTCATTCAGCCTTTCACCGTGCTCATTTCACTCCTATTCCGTGAGATCCGATGTGAAGCTCTTCAGCCGTTCCTTCTTACATCCGCTCTTAGCGTTGAAATTGCCGACATTTACCTCGAAGAAGTTATGATTTCCGCTGTAGAATCTCTCCAAATCCATATAATGCTTCGAGCTCATCCTCGCCTTAACTCAGTGCGGCGAAGATTGTCAAAGCCAGAGCTGAACCACAGCACGCAGATTCAGACAGCAATTGAGCCCCCCTATCCCCAACTAGCATTTCAAACTCTATCGATTTACCTATACATTCAGACTCCCGTGGGAAGTAGGAAACACCTGGTAAATCTAGTCTACTACTTACATATTCGATAACGCTATTAATACAAACGTTTTACCCTAGCTTTTGCCATCCACTTCTATAACGTGACTCTTGAAACGATAATGATCCAGGTTCTCGGCTATTACCCGTCTCTTCGAGATAAGTCATATGTACCTCTCTTCGCCTTTCTATTGAGCCCTTTGAAACTTCTGAAAGCTTACTCGGTTCAAAAAATAAATTATAAATCAACGCCTGCTCAGAATTGCTAATTCTGTCGAAAATTGTTATTGGGCAACACATGTGCGATTCTTTCAGTGTGAATTGCCCCACATCCCGAATTCACCATGTTATAGTTGGAAGACGAGCCCGCGTCGTATACGACGCGGCTTCTCTACAAGTCAACTTTGTGTTGACAGTTCCGCATTGCTTCTCTGCTGGGGAGCTAAAACTCAGTCCCTTTCAATGGCGTCAATTTTCTTGTTTTTCTCTGCGCTCTCACTTCTGCATC